TTGTGCATACATACATCAAAGCAAAGAATGCTGTCAAGACATGCTTGAATCTTTTCTTGTTTCCATATAGCGATATTGTTCTTACGACCAAGATCCAATTCGTTATGGCGAAGAAAATAATAGCGAACACAGCTGATGAGACAATGAGTAACCGTAGAGTTGTATAGGTGCTAAGCACAACACACACCGGTTACCGAATAGGTCACTTTACACCTGGAAATATTGAGCGGTGGAAGAAGAGATGGATTGAGAGCTAAGCTCACTCAAGATTGGACAGAGGTATCACGCCAGATTGAATGATTGCCCACAGTAGGACGAAAGGAAAGGTGATTAAACGATACTATTTACGGTATAAACGTTATATCAACCAGCGGAAAGACTATCGTAAGCACTCATCTCTCCCCGAGTCTTTGAGAGATACATACTAGGTAAGTAAGATATTTGATGACACTCCATTTCTTCGGCCACAAGTACGTTGCCTGAGGATTTGGTAGGGGAGACCAGATATGAGAATCAACCACGGTGACCGAACAGGTAGAGGAACCGTACCTCCCTTTCCAAGGTAATAAGAGTATCGTGGATGAAGAGGGTTATCGCAACAGCTATATAGGCGTTTATCGACCGGGATTATTTCTTCCAGGATTGATGACTAACCTGAACACCATCGACCCGTCTGCACATCTCTTGCGCCATCTATGATATCCTGAGCGGTCCTTGGGGCCAATATCTGATACATAGGAGCACCAAGACTCAACGAGGGGAGTCTAGACAAGAGGAAGGCGGTTCGTCTTTGTCTTAATTCCGTGCATCGCTTTAAGAGTGACCACTCGAGCGGAGCAGTCCCCTCTGTACCTCTCAGAGCTTATTAGTCGTTCTGTTGCGCGAATAATGACAGCTTTCATCTCGTTAGAAATGAAAAGTTTGCGATCATGTGAGCTATGGACACGAGTTGATAGTCAACCTCGAATCCATAGAACGGCCCGGCGGACTGGTAACAAGCGAGCTGGTAAGAGATCCGATAGGAGTTCCTGACTGTCCTGCCCAGACAAAACCAGCCAAATCAAGTATCAGATAGCCTCTTGTGTCAAAAACCTATACGCTCGATCGAGGCGACAGGGACCAAGGCGTTAGCGTTGGCTTGAACACGGTCACCCCGTCTTCAAAGCAAACCATAGTGCAGATGGCAAACATTGACCTCGTGGGGTTCATTTGCACAAGTAGGTTCATATGGAACTCGTAGTGGCTTATAATTGAATAGCTGCCGTATGCCAACCGAGGTAAGTCCCGAGCCTGGTAATGGTATTATCACAACCGTTCATGTAACTAATGCTGACCCCATTTTTCAGTCACCAGTAGCCTGACTCATACATCGATGCTGGGTGTGAGGTCCTGGACCTGGAATCCTGTATCTCTAGCGTCAAGGCAAATTTATAATATACAACGGGTAAAGAGTATGAGTCCAAATCAAGAACCTCTTTCAGCACTCGGTTCGATGAGGCTGCAAGGCCAGTGCCATATGGCTCGACGGAGTCCGATATATGGGATATTATTTCCGCGTAAGAAGAGAGAGCACTGGCGTTGTAGTAGATCTAATCGAGTCTCAGAAAATTGATAGAGGCGGGAAAGAGTGGCTGAAGATGGGTAATGAGTGATGTAAGTTGGCCTAGGTGGCTATTCAACCTTTGCTTTCGATAAGATCTAAGCCAGTGATGGATATAGCCCCAAAATGCTGATACTATTAAACCCTCTTGAGTTTAGCTAGAAACACGTAGACGATATGACTGTCCGGCCAAAAACTTCGATGAGCAAACTGTGTGCGTTATTATATTCCAAAAGTACTTACGGTAGATACTTTTTCATCTCAGAGGATATCGGTTTCTATTGATAATAGGTGTCAATTGATGGGTCTGCGAGACCGGTATCGAGGCAGCCTCAAGAAGATTCAACTGCAAGCGGGTGCTAGCGATACATATTCCGACCCAAAGGAACCTATATATCGGTCATAGAATATCGGGTACGCATAGATTTTAGCTGGGCTTCTGCTTTACTCTTGACGGATAAGGGCGTCGACTCACCAGAAGCCATTGTAGAGACTTGAAGGCGACGATGTCATCCAGGCATATGTGTTATAAGCTCTGAGGACTTGTTCAAATCAACATGAGACTGGCATAGACACTGTTGGTCATTATTTATCTCACCGACAACAACCTGGTCGTATGATCAGAGTCACGAAGCTGCGGAGATGTGCAATACGCACCACATAGTAAGAAACTCCATCGCGATACAACACTAGGAACAAGTTGGTTTTCGAAGGATACATGCCAGTTGCCTTTTGATACGTTTTGATGACAGTCAAGAAGCAAATTACAGCTTCGAGGATCAAAGCCGGGAAATAGATATATCCTTCGGAAGAGTCAACAATATTGAAATGTGGCAAGCTGAAGAATCTACCGTAGAGAGTAGGTCGAAATGCTATCCCGCAGACCTTGAATGGGGCAACGTAAAGTATATTACCTGAAGAACACCATCAGGCGTTAGATCAAGAGCAAGGCAATCATGACCAGTCGACCATACAGGAACTGACCCCTGATTAAAAGCTCTGACAATGAGAGAGTAGCTAGGATGATACTACCCGAGACCATTGCAAGATAGAACGATATCGCCGAATATCTGAATAGTTTTGTATTTCTATACAGAGTCATTGTCCTTTTAAGCATGATCCAGTTCGCTAAGGCAAACGAGATGGCTGCGACAAGGGCTTGAGTCGAGTGAGCGGTAGAAGTCGAGTCAGATTCTGAGGATGGGTTTTGAATAGCGTTATCCTACATGTTATCGAGAATAATATTTTGCATCTGAGGATTGATCAGATGGAAGCCAAATGACGATGTATAATAAAGCCACCTACCCCAAATTGGTGAAGTTCAAGACATTGGCTTGCATAAGAGACCATGCGAGAGTAAATGCGAATGTGATAGAGCGATTCTGATAACACCGAGAGTGTTTGGGTAGTGAGCATTCGGGACGTGGTTGGTGATAAAGCCTCTCGCCCAAAGTTGGTGCAAACGTACCAGATAGATTATAATCTTGATGGGACCCCACTTCTTGGGCCATAGAAGTTCCACCTTATGGGTTTGGTACGCAAAGACATGAGAGGCCGAAACGATAAGAATTTTAGTACCACTCACCTCATCCCCTAGAGTAATGATCGTGTCATGAAACAGAATAGTCACAGCAGCAGCGGGATATTCGTTGCGAGATTCTTAACGACAGTGCGCGATAGCTTTGAACTAGTACTCACCAGAACACCATCTCCCGATTGCAACATTTCTGGCACCTTCTACGAGCGCATCACTTTGGACAGCCCTTGATAGTATGTCCTTGTACATATGAGCACAACCTCGCAGAGATATCAAAGGGAGGGTTTTGAGAACGAATACGAGGTGGGATGGTAGGTCTCTCCGTCGTTGTAGATATTACCACCGTATGACGGCTATAAATCGGGGAAATTGACTTTCGAAGGTAATTTCGTATATCTATAAACTTTGTGAGATGACGGCCTGACCGTCATGTGGGTTGATAGAGCAGGGCCTCCAATTTCCAAACCGATCAGGACCGCCGTGCCGGGTATCTCCAGAGGTACTTAGACTTTCCGTTCAGGCCGAGAGACTAATCTGAGTTCTTTGGAGCCTCGACGCATGACAGCCAACCAGACCTCTTCGAATCGGGAACGATGGTGGTTGGTCAACACTCTGTTGACTTTCATTCATCCAGAGTCACCACCTGCGATGAGACGACACCTACCAGCATCACGCTAGAACTATAATCCAAATTGGATATTATTCGTGCCGAATCCCTTACAACTGATTCTTATTTGTGAATAGAATTGTTCAAAATCTGCCGAGAGCCGACTTTTGGGCGCCATACTGGAAGATGGCGTTCCTCCGCTACTGACTACATGATTGTGGCAATTGCGAAAGCCCGATCAACGGAATTCTGCTCACATATGCTTGTCTCAAAGTTCTCACTCATATGGAACGTCGAATTGAGGTCAACTTAGTTTGGTTATTGGGTGTTTAATTTTATATCTGTCCAACTACTAATCAGACAACGGTATCCCGCTGGCCTATTCTGTACAACTGTATCTCCCACTGACCCAACAAAGAAAACGAGTAAATGAAAAATGATGAGCGCTGCTGCTAGTAAAAAGGTTATCAAGAATGTAAAGGATCTACCGGTGTATGCGCAACATGCCTATGTGGCTTCTACATTTGGTCTCCCGAAACTCCCTGTCCCTATGGTCCTCCTCCCAGGTCTCCGCTCTCGCAAGCCACCTCCAATACCCGTACCTGATTTAACGAAAAGAAGTCGGGGGAGACATGTTTCCGCGGCCGATGATGATGCAGGGCGAAAATATCATTGTAACGTTCCAGGATGCGACAAGTAAGATCATTTCATGTTCTGTATTATTGATCGAGGTTTAACGGTCCCCAGGCGTTTCGCTCGCGGAGAACACCTCAAACGACACATCAGGAGTATACATACACACGAGAAACGTAGGTTCATTGTTTGTGGGGTTTCAAACCTCGCACTGACTGTCCCCCCAGCACATCAATGCCCCTACCCAGGATGTTTACGAGGGTTCAGTCGAACCGATAATATGATGCAACACATGAGAACTCATGATGATTGGCCGGATGATGAGACTGCGGCCAAGATGATAGCAGAGTCGGAGAAGAAGACCCAGAAGAAGGTGTCTGCGATGGCGGCTATGACCGCCGCATTAGGGCCAGGTACATCCGAAAAGGAATTTGTTCCAATGCCCCCCATGATTCCACCCATGCCCTGGCAAATGGCTCCGTTCTTCTTCAATTGGGGGGCGCAGCAGCAACAGCAGCAGCAGGTACACGCACAACAACGTTCGGCGGCGAACTATATAATACAATCAGCCTCGAACCAAACACAGCCTACCCCGATCCTAGCTAAAGAAGGACAGCCTGAAAGTTCGGATCTTAGTAACGGTGCGACGGTGGAAAGTGGTGCAGACTTGTCCACTGTCAATGAGTTCATCGAGGGAATGAGCTCACCTGAGGCTACACTATCTCAAGAGCAGTCGTCATCACCTCTTTCGACAGGACAGGAGCAGCCTGCTACTATTGCTCCTGGTATGATGATGATATCAACCGACGATCCCAAGGT